CCTGGCCTGCAGCATCTTTCTGAACTCACTTCCCAACTTCTAGCCTTTCTTCCAACCTTTTCCCACAAAAACTCATACTTAGGCATCCCTGTAGTGTCATTCAAGTACCATCCTTGGATCAGAACACTTATCCTCTTGCCAGTCAGACAAATGCCCAGTCCTCCTTCCCAAGTAGATCTCTGTGTCCACACATTTCAGCTTTCTGCATACACCTGGCCCTGAACACTGGGCTCCACACAGCTTCTCTGTGCAGGAATATCTCCACAACAAGGGCTTTGTGGTGTTTCATTCCCTTGTTTAACTGTCCTGTGGTGCAGTTCCTGCTCCACCATGGATCCTCTCAGGAACCTTGGTTTCCTGAACAAGTGGAGCTGAGACCGTCTGGAGAGGGGTTTCTAACACGGCAGCCACTGGAGCTGCCTCTTTGATGGGACAGTAGATGTCTTTGTCTGGAGGATGTGTTGAGGAGGAGTCAACCTGTCTTGAGATTCACATTGGCCACTACTGATCTTGGCATCTCACAGCATCTGGTGGCTTGGAGGCATTTTTGGTTCCTTGCTGGGCCCTAAGGGCAGCCAGATCTGCCCTAGAAGGCTCAACATTCACCCGGAGGATGATGGCCTTGGCAGAATTGTCACATTGCCCCTCAGCTGTTTTGGTGTGGTCACCTCATACAGGACAAGGCATAGATACTAAGAGAAGTAGTCTTAGTGCTGTTTTTATAGGCAAGACAGAGTTTAGTGAGAAGAGTGCAGGACTGGGGGTTAGGAAACCTGGGTTTGATTTATTGTTACTAGTCTTATTAAAACTAACCATAGAATGAATATGCAACCATGTTCAGAGCACAGGACAGGCTGTGGGCCTTGCTCAGAGGTTTCTGGGACTGAGTTAAGCAGCTGTATGCATTACACAGGGCCAGGGTGCTGTCCCTTGTCTCTGAAAATGTTGGGCCTGCCTCACCCTCAGCTGTCCCAGCCCGCTACATTCTTCTTTCTTGAGGCGGGGTAAGATTTCATGGGCCCAGCCATGAACCTTGAGAGAGTGACTGCTACGGGGGGGGGAGAAGCTCCTACTTTGACTTTGGTCTTGGTCTCTGGTTCTGTCTGCTCCACTCAGTAGAGACCAGTGGGTTGTACTCTGGACAAAGTCCTGAAGTCATACAAGACCAGCAAGTGAAGTGCAAGTCTACCCTTGAACTTCCTTGAGACATTCCCTCATGAGCCTGGGAAAAGAGAGGCCAGAACTGGCCTGGACGAAGGGTTTCAGGAAGGGAAAGAAAGTCAGTCAACATGGGTATGGGTGCGTGCTCCAGGTGATGGCATAAAAATAGGGACTCTGAGCCAAGGAGAGTGAGCACCGAGGAATGATTTTCCTTGTTAGTCTACTTAAGTTATTCTGTTATAGGAATGTGGGGCCACCTTCTAGTTGTACCCCACACTTTCCTCCACTTGCGGTTCAGCAGGATAGGCTGTGTGGTGGTCCCTGCCAATACCAGCTGCCCATCTCATGGGCTTCCTTTCATCACTTCTGCATTGGGATGGCACAGAACTTTTTTTTTAACCTTTCTGATATTTCATAAGACTGTACATAGCAATTTTTCTCTATACTAGAGAGCAAAAATAACAGGCTTAGGACATCTAAAAACAAGGCTAAGTGTTTCTCTTGATTCCAGCTCACAATCCTCATATTGGCATTTAGAGAAGCATTCCTAACTATTTGAGGTAAAAAAGGCAACATTTGCTATCACCCAGCTGCCCCTGAGTGTCCCCATCCAAGTCAGGGGCTGGGCTAGTGGCACTGCAGACTGGGCAGCTACGATACCTCTGGGCAGCCCTTGGCCTTGTGACTACATGTTGGCCTCCAGGGTGACTGTGTGTCCTGCCCGCCCACTGCATAGTATCCCTGAATATAGCACGAGCATCTCACTGGTGCTCATTGGATTTTGTAGAAATGGGAACGTGTCCCCAAGGAACATTGCCAGTGGCCTCCTAGAGCGTCATACTTGATGCTCCACTCAAGTGGAAGCAGGTGCCTGCCTTGCCTTCATTACGATCTGCCCATGGCTCATGTCGAAGGCCAGCCCTCTTTCTCCTTCCTGCATAGTTCCCTGTACGTGGTTGATCTTAGATGGTGAACACCATATTAGGGGATCTGATCTGCACCCACATCTTCCCTTCCCATTGAGAACACTCAGGGCAGAGACTTTTTTCATAGGTGCCTCCGTGTCTTGATGATCTGGTCCAGAGGGCAGCCCAAAGGTGTATCCTAGAAAGTGAAAGCAGTCTCAGCTGGTCGGTGAGCTGAGCAATGCCCTGGTATGTTGGCCTCTAGGTCTGCCCTTCTTATCTGTCATTTTCGCAGTGGTAAAATTAGAATGAGTGACAGCCATCTAAGAGAGCTCTCACTTCTGCCAATGGAAGTGCCTAGTGTTGCTTTTCTGTTCAGATCACTCTTTGTCTCAGGTCGCTGAAGCAGCTTACAGTTCACCTCTGACTATAGTCCACTGTCCACCTGCCATATGCATAAGCATACAGTTGTGAGATCCTCTTACTGCTTAGAAAACAGGCCACCATCATCCAGTCATCAATCTCCTTCATTCATTTATTCTTTCATGTAGCCATTCACTTATTGAATATTTATTAAGTGCTTTCTCAGTCTGGTGCACTGAGCTAACCCTCTTAGTATGTGTAGCAGCATCATTTTTGTACTCCAAAGGACAACAGCTGCCCTGGAGAGACATGGACATATTTTTTCCCACTTCTTGAATGGGGACATGGAAGCAGACTGACTCTCATTTACTTACATAATTACTGGACAGGACTCAGAGCTAAGGTCACTGAATATGGCTATACAGGCTATGTACTGCACAACTTTGAGAGTCATTGTGCAACGTAGAAGTCCTACATTGAGGTCTGCAATCGGTTCCCAACTGTAATTGCCTAGGCCACTCACCCATGTAACATGTTCAGATCCCACTGAGATGTGCTAGAATTTCATCAGTGAGGGGTGCCAGTGTGGCTACTACACTGGAAAGCTGGTCTTTGGTTGGTACCTTCACCATCTAGTCCTAGAAGCTCCGTGGCCAGGTCCAAGGAGGAGACTCCCTTGGAGCTCAGTCAGTAGACAAAGGACATGTGGAATACTGACCACCTTTTGTGACATGCTCTGAAGCTGCCCCTGTGCTGCCATGCCACCCCATGCAGCATGTGACTGAACTAGGGACATTCACCTTGCATGCCACAGAGACCCACTGCTGTGTTCCTCAGCCAGCCTGGTCTTCACCAGAGTCCACTGCACCTCCAGTTGGCAGCTGGACCAGCACAGAGACATCCATCTTCCTTTGCCCTGTCAGTCAAACATTCATGCATGCAAATCTATCTGAAATTTAAAAGGCAAAGCAAGAAACAACACAACACAATGACAGACAAACAAACTGGCACCCAAGGACTTCAGAGGCTTCAGATTTTTCCCCTCCTGTCACCCTCATGGCCCCAGGTTCTAATTGCCATGAGCCATTTCAGGTGGACTATCAACAGGACTTAGGGATGGACATTCCTCAGAGACTTCCTGCTTCAATGACCAAGTGTGTCACCCTTGTATGTTGATTCTTTTGACACTAAGCTTGAAACCAGGCAGCAGGGAAGCCATAGGACACTGAGCCTGGGGCATCTCTGCTGCTCCTCAGGGCCAGCTGCCCCCTTTCTGGGCCTTTGGCCCATCTGTCCAATGGGATGGCAGTACTGGCCACAGAATGCACAATGCAGGGAAAGACCAGTGCTTCCTTGCACAAATGTCACAGATGTGGTCAACTGAGGACCAGCAGTTAAACCTTGAAAAGAGGGAAATGAGGTAGGGAAACTGAGTATGTTTCTCTGTGGGCTATAGGAAAAACTCCTTGACTGATCAGGCCTGCACCTGACTGCACTCTGCACAAGCCAGTTCCGCCTGTATGCCTTAGAAGTGCCAGAAGTGCTCAGAAGCCACGTGAGGGTGGTGCGCAGTCTTGGCTGCCTGGAATCCAGATTTCTGGATTCTTGGCCAGAACACATGTTTTGTTTGAATTTAAGAGTGTTTTTCCTTTTGGCTGCATGCTCATGAGAACAGTGTATGTGTGTATGGACTCACACACATGTGTATGGATGCATGAGGGCTACCATACACATGGATTTCCACCTGTGTAATTTCAAGATTAGAGTGCGCATTTCTTCACATGTGATTTGTACTAAGTCAGTGGTGGGATCTAGGTGATGAGAAGCAGTCTCTTATTTCCCCACATGGGCCCCATCAGTGAGCCCGTGTACTAGAGGTTTTTGGGCCCATGAGGAGTAGGTGAGGATGGATGGAAGTGTATATCTGTGGCATTAAAATATGTATGTGCCTGGTAGATGACACAGTCGGTATTATCCACATCAGTTTTATGGGGAGGGAGATGCTTCTAAGTGAGAATGGTCCATACACTTTTACCTGGGCACTCTTCCAAGGGCAAGCCACTCATCTGCCAGCTCTAGAGCACAAGACACACCTGGAACCAATGCAGGTGTACAGTGACTGAAACTGCAGTCTTGATTTCCTCAGCCCAGGACTGTGCAGTCAGGTATGTGTGTGATGCTCAGTGAAGACACTGCCTCCTGATTTACCTAGTGCATTTGTCTACTGTGTTGTGCTTAGTGTTAAGTGCCTCCTTCATTCAGACAATACATATTGAGTGCCTACTTCTTGCAGATGTGGCCACTCATAGCAAACGGGTGGCAGAGGGGAGGATAAGTGTTGTTATTCTCATTTTTGTCACATGGCTCATTAGGATTAGAACCAGAAGTGGAATTCTGGACCTGTCTGGATTGTGAGAGTCTGCACCCACCTTCTTGGAGCCTGTGCTGGCACTTGTCAGTCTACGGATGTGTCCTTGAGACAGTGCTGTGTAGACACCTACACAGGGGCCCTCAGAATCCCCCAAGGAGGGGTCAAAGGGCCTCCTTGTGATGCCACCACTCTTCCTACAGAGTGGCGACAAGGAAGTGGGGCAAGGATGATCCTGCAAGATGAAGACATCACCACCAAAATTGAGAATGACTGGAAGAGACTAAACACCCTGGCCCATTACCAGGTGAGATGGACATGGAAGACAGGAGCCAGCCAAGTAGCTGGCCATTTCCCTGTGGAAGTCTTGGTCCTTGACTACAGGGTCACTGCAAGACTAGACACCAAATCATAACCCACTTTCTCACCAGCAGTCCATGTTCTCCTGGTGACTCAGGGGAAAGTGGCATCACCCATCCAGGGGCCCCTGGCCTCACTGGAGATAGGATGCTGACATGCATGGTTCCACAGGGCTTGGGCAGAGTCCCCAGGACAAGACAATCCCTTAGAAGTTCCCTGGGCATTTAAGGCTGAGTGGCATCCCAGGGAACAGAGGAAAGGGGACAGCCTCCAAAGTCCCCAGGCTTTCCAGCAAGGTGTTAACTGCCCTTTAAGACCAAGCCATTATTTCCTGGGGGACAGAGCTCCTGTGACCATGCCTTTAGAACCCTTCTTTTTCCTCTAGGTGCCAGATGGCTCTGTGGTGGCCTTAGTGTCTAAGCAGGTGACAGCCTATAATGCAGTGAACAACTCCACAGTCTCCAGGACCTCAGCAAGTAAATATGGTAAGATCTTAGCCGATGTTTCCGAGAGATGAGGGTGTCCTGGGTGCCTGTTATCACGATGGCAGCATAGCAGGAAGCCAGTGGACCCATGGGGCCAGGGTTGGTGTGAGTAGGGCTGGCTGACCAGCAGGGAGAAGGACCAGGCTATGGCCAAGGCACCTGGTTCTAGTCTGTAATTCGAATGCATGAACAGGATTTCATTCATGAGCTAGAGAAGAAAATCTAACCTTCATCAGTGTCTTCCAGTCTTTAGCACGCATTCCATTTTGTGATTCTCATTATCTCACATCATGTTCATAACAATCCAGTGAATTAAGTAATTATTATTTCCCCCTATTATGTAGATTAGTAAATTATACCTCAGATGCATAGAGGGTAAATGACTATAAAGGTCACATTATTATTATGCAATGGTATGGAGGGACAGGCCCAGATCTAAGGCTGTGCAGCTGAGGAGAAAGGCATGTGGGATAGGGGGTAGGGACCCAAAAGGCAGCCTTATTCTGCCACCACTTTTGTGCTTCAGGGCCAACCACATGGATCCATCATGAGCCTTGATGTTCTTACCAGGAAAACAGGGATTGAAAAAACAACCAACCTTACAGGGCCATGGTGGGTTATAAATACATGAATACATAGAAAGGTGCCACATGCAGTAGGACCATCATCCTCATTTCATTGAGGCAGGACTTTCAGCAATCAGTGGGGAGAATTGTGCCAGAACAGAGGGGAGGATGCAGGTGAGCAGTGTACAGGCAAGGCCTGAGCTGGTCAACATTTATTAGGAGGGAGACAGGCTACCTGCCCTTGAGTGTGTACTTAATTGGCTACACAGAGCACATCCTGAGACAGGACTTGAGAAGTGATGCAAGGACACATGTAAGAGACATACAAGCTTATATTTTCACAAACTGAATAATTAAGGGTTGACTTGACACAAAGTACTGGAGGGAGGGTGGGGGATCTGAGTGGGTGGAATTAGGCGCAGATAGTTTCCTGGAGGTGGTGAGAAAGGCATCTGTGTTTTGGGCAATGTACCAAACACAGGCGAGGTGATGGTGCCAGGCGGTGGCAGGAAGGATCGGGCAGTAGTTGCCCTTAACAGGGAAAGGGCCATGTTGTGGGTTACCCAGTGTGGGGCTATTGGCCTCACACCCACTGTGGGGCGCTCCTTGTGTTGGCAGAAAACATGATCCGGTACACGGGCAGCCCAGATAGCCTCCGCTCAAGAACTCCCATGATCACTCCTGACCTGGAGAGTGGAGTCAAGATGTGGCACCTGGTGAAGAATCACGAGCATGGGGACCAGAAAGAGGGTGACCGGGGGAGCAAGATGGTGTCTGAGATCTATCTAACTCGGCTACTGGCCACTAAGGTATTGGGCATGAGAGCAGGTGCCTGGAGTCTGGGAGGCACAGGAATGGCTGTCCTCTGCCCACAGTAACGCTGGAGCTGGCAAGACTTATCCACCCACAGTGGGTGTGCTGACCAGCCATAGGTGTCCCCCAGGACAGAGCCTCCGAATTCTGCTCGATCCTGGGAACCAGGCAAACCCTACTAAGATATCAGTGTTGGCACACAGAGCTGCCACCTGCACCTACTATGGTCTCTGCCATGCCACATCCCAGAATCACTTTTTCCCTAGGAGAGCACTAGGGATGGCAATTGAGGCTCCTTTGGTGACTTTCCAGGCACCATTTCTAATCCTGGTCCTGGGGGCAGCTCCTGCCTACAGCTTCGCTCCTTCTCTTCTGAGACTGGGCCTGCTGGGTCTCTGCAGAGCCGGACCGATAATTGTTCATTAGCCAGTGTGCATGAAACCCACACAAAACCAGCAGATTGTGTTTGTCGGCTGGCTCTGACCAAGTGCATGCTCATTAGCCTTTATGAAAAGTGTTAAAATGACACCCTGAGAATGCAGAACCAAACCATGTGGCTGGCAGAGGGAGGCTTGCTCAGGCCCAGCCATCTCTGTGCTGTCTACTTGCCATGATCTGAGGAAGTTTAAAGCTGTCAGAGGTGAGTGAAAGGGGAAAGATGTAACACATGAACTCACCCAAGGCCACCCAAGCAGGACAGGCTGTTCACCAGTTTCCCCTGTCCGCATTTGCACACCCTCGTTGGAACTGCCTGGGCGCAGCCCTGTCTGACAGCGTCCCCCTCCCCAGGGCACACTGCAGAAGTTTGTGGACGACCTCTTTGAGACCATCTTCAGCACGGCCCACCGCGGCTCCGCCCTGCCACTGGCCATCAAATACATGTTTGACTTCCTAGATGAGCAGGCTGACAAGCACGGCATTCATGACCCCCACGTCCGCCACACTTGGAAGAGTAACTGGTGAGTGAAGGGAGGTGGTGTGTGTCGTGAGAAGCTGGTGACCCTGAACAGCCAGCCCGAAGTCAGTGTAGGACCGAGGCCTTCCATAGACACTCGGCCATCCTCCGCCCTCATCAGCAAGGCCCTCCCTATCCTCACCTACTGTGCTTTTGTGCTTGCTTCCTTCTCCTCTCCCTCTCCTCAAACCTGTGCACCTTTCTTCTCAGTCAACAAACATTTACTGAACTAGCTCAACAAGCAAAAAGATAATATGCCTATGTCACAGCAAGGCCTTGGTGCCTGACATTGTGCTAGAGTAGTCAGCTGTCTGGACAGAGAGACAAACGCTACAATAGGAGTTCGTTGTGTGGAATGGAACCACAGATGGCCAGAATATATGGTGACTTGGAAGTGGGGTTTCAAAGCACACCCATGAGTCAAGGGCCACTTCTGTTCTAGTTGATAAGCTGCCCTCTTACCTCCCCCATGAATTCCCTTTCCAAGCCCTGGTTGGGCAAGAGACCTGCCTAGGACCACTTTGTGTCCCCTGGAGACTCCAGGATTCTCTAAGTACTAATGACACTCTACACATCTTCACTATGGTCTCCTCTCTAACATATAACACTCTCCCTTCCACATGTGCATAGTTGGTATTTCAGGTTGAAACGGCAAGGTCAAATATCAGTATTTTACCTGCAGCATGAGGTCTTGCACACTGGAAGTGGGCCCAGTCAGTACTGATGAGATGGCAGGGCCAGGATGGCCTCTGTTTGAAAGTTTCATCTTGGAGAAAGCTGGCTGATTCTTAGTTCCAGCCATTCCAGAATCACCTCCCTATAGACTTCACCTGCTCCCCATTCTGGGTTGATTTTTCCTGGATCATTTTTCCAAGGAGGAATGGGCTGAGTGCCCACTGCCTCTGATTGCTGGGTCCACCATGGCAGCAGGGCACAGGCAGGTACCTGACAACCAGCCCTGGGCCCAAACCAGGACACAGAAAATGCTGAAGTCAGGCTAGGCTGTAGAAACTGGGTTTCCTGGTGGATGACTCAGCTTTCTCGCTGCTGAGACACAATACACAACACCTACCACTTAAAAGAGAACATGTTTTAAAAGAGAACTTAAAAGAGAACAAGTTCTTCACAGTTTTAATACACGGTCAGCTGGCTTCAAGGCAGAGATATCATGGTGGAAGGGTGTGGCACATAAAGGTCCTTAGCTCATGGAGGCCGGGAAGGAGAGTGAGGGAACAGTACCAGAGAGGAAGGGGCGGGGGACCAGATACAGACCACAAAGCAACACCTCCGTGACATACCCAGACATACCTGGACGTGTACTCCACCAAACCCAAGGGTGGGTCCCAAAGCCAACCAGGTTGAAACTCCACCCTAGCCACCACACCTGGGGTGCACTCTAGCCTCTCCTCTCCTTCACCCAGAGAAGAGTGTGCTCTGCAGGGGGAAGGGACACCAGGCCCAGATGGGGATTTGGCGCGCAGAGCTGAGGGGTGAGATAGAGAAGATCTATGGCAGAGTTCTTCCCCTCTCTGAAATAGGATCCTTGGAATCTGGCTTCCCTGATGACCAGCACAGCAACCCCGGGGGAAGCCATTCCTTCCTAGTAATTCTCCAGCCTGGTCTGTCCTCTGCCTCCTCTGGGTAGGTTGATATTGAATTTCTTCTGTCTTCTTTGCATGACTGTCACTGGTCTAGAACATCAGCAGCTTCAGGAGGTAGGAAGTGCTCTGTCCAAATGTTTCTTGGGCTTAGCTGGAGACAGCTGGCCCTTTTCAAATTGTCCTATGTGCCTTCAGATGCCCACTACAGGAAGAACAACGTCCTGGTGTCTATACCCCTTGTCTCCCGTCTGTCACTCCTGCTGGGCTCTCTCAAGGGAGCCACACTGTCCCTGGGTTGAAGGCAGATCCTCCCTCTCTGCCAACTCCTCCAAGTACTTGGTGTTGACATGTAGAACTCCAGGTCCAGGGGCAGGAAAGCCCAGAAAGTAGAGAGCAGCACCAGGTTCAAGTTGTCCCTACAAAGGACAGCTCCCTGGCCCTGATCTGATCTGTTGCTACCTGGGCAAGAAGCAGCCAGCTATTATGCCATCTGTATATTGACTCAGACTTCATTGTCCCTGATTGAGAAGAGATTGTTTTAATCCTGGCCTAAGGTGTAACAGTGCTCCCACCTCCTCTGCCACAGCTCCTTACCTTTTCTTTCAAATAAACCTCCTGCTCACTTAGCCTGAGTGGCTGCAATCAGCCAGATTAGTGGCACCACTAATGTTAATAATATGCTAATATTTCATTAGGGAAGAGCCACAGCAGTGGTGCATGACTTCCCTGTTTGATGTGCTTGTCTTTACGACGGGCTGGGGGCGGGGCACAACCAGTGTGGCAAATATGGACTTTTCGGACTCCCAGCATCCCTGTTCTGGGAGGAACATCTGGAATGCCAGGAGGCTGGAGTCAGGAGACTATGAGCTGGGAATACACGAGTCCCTCATGGAAGGCTCTGACCTCACTGATCATGATCTCCCCAGCTACAGTGATGTCCCTTCGCTCATGTGTTGTGACTCTCAGCTGTCCCTGGATGCCCTCTTTCCTATCCTGGGTCTCCAACAATGAAGCGAGTGCTACCACACATCATCAGGTCTCCGTGTGCTTGCCGCCATCCTGCATGGCACTTGCTGTAGGAACTTTAAGAATTTAACAAATACTTGTTAGTTGATTGACAATCTTGAATGTTAGGTCTTACTATATTTACAGTGCTTGTGGTACATACTGGCTTCCAGCAGGTTTGTTTGGCTTGCCTAAACATGTGTGTGCATTAAAACTCTCACCAGTGGCGAGAGCAGCCACCAAAACAACAATAAAGTATCAGGGGACATGGAAGGACATGGAGTGACAGCAGATGGGGGAGAAATAAGTGCTCCTTAGGCGGTGCCACCCCTTTCTTTGCTGCACTGGGGAGGGGGGTTGGCTGGAAGCCACAGAGCCAAAGAGGCAGAGGCAGGCTTCTCTTGACCCTCTTGCAAATGAATGTGGCTTAGACTACTAGACATAAGACACTTCTGTCTCCTCTTTGTCTCCCTCTGTTTATGCTGATCCCCATCTGCTGCTCCTCCATGCCACTTCCTCCAGGCTTTGCCCAACTGAGGAACACCTATGTGTGGGTTTTTGTTTGCTTTATTGCAGTACTGGGGATTGAACCCAGAGCCTTCACACTGAGCTACATCCTCAATCTTTTTTATTTTTTATTTTGAAACAGGGTCTCAATAAGTTGCTAAACTGCACAGGCTGGCTTAAACTTGGGGTCCTTCTGCCTCCACATTTCAGAGTGCTGGGATTATAGGCACGCATCACCATGCTTGGCCTATTTTAGAACTCAAGACGAGTATTCCCTCTGTAAAGGCTTTGCAGACTCTGCCCACTGGGTGGCTCAGAGCCTTTCTGATTCCCACCCTGCACCCCCTGCCTTCTCTGCTTCTAGCATCACTAGCTTGCGAGCACACACTTGTTCACCTGTCCCTCTCCCCCACAAACCCACCAGCATGAAGCTTCTTGAAAGCACAGAATGTGTCGCAATCCTTGCATCTCCTGTCACTAGCACAGCTCCCAGCAAGGAGGGAAGAAGCAAAAGAGGGCAGATGAGGGCCCCGATCCCTACTGGTGAAAAATCACTGAGCTGCCTCCCGTTCACAGCCCCAGTGCCTTCACTAGACAAGAATGAGCCTAAGGGACCAGTCAGGGAGGGAGGAAGGGGTGACTTCGACCTAATCATCCAGTAGGCAGCAGGGGGTCAGATACAAATCCTGCAGTCCAGATGGTTCCTTAAAGTTTGCCAACTAGATGCTCCAGTGCCCAGCACGGTGGATGGGGTTGAAGGAACAGAGGAATAGGAAGTGTGAAATTCTACCTTATATAACTTATAACTGCTCCTCATGCCAAAGGGAAGAGTCCCCAAGCCCTGCTTCCCAGCTGGATACCAAGGCCTCTCCAGTCCCTTCCAACAGTGTATTTCTGGGTGAACAATTCCGCCTTGCTGTGTTGTAGTTTCCTGGAAGGGAAAAGGGAGCGCAGCACACTCCATCCTGGCCTACAGAAGGCTCCCACGCACTGTGAGTGTCCACCATCTCACCTTCCCCAAAGAACTCTGGCAATGCTGCAGCCCCTGCCCTGTCACCCCTGACTGCCTTTCTCTCCATCCAGCCTGCCCCTGAGGTTTTGGGTCAACATGATCAAGAACCCACAGTTTGTGTTCGACATCCACAAGAACAGCATCACAGACGCCTGCCTCTCTGTAGTGGCTCAGACCTTCATGGACTCCTGCTCCACATCAGAGCACCGGTTGGGCAAGGATTCGCCCTCCAACAAGCTGCTCTATGCCAAGGACATCCCCAGCTACAAGAGCTGGGTGGAGAGGTGAATGTGGCTGGGGCTGGGAGGGGTAGGGCATGCTGCCCTGGACTAGGGACCTCCCCTTCCAAGTGGACTATCACCCTGAGATAGGTCACTCAAAGAGCTGGTCCTACATGGCAACATCACACACACCCCAACTCTACTGGCCCCGCAAAGCTGTGCTTGTGGCCAGCTCTAGAGAAAGACCAGCTCCAGGAGGCTCCAGCGGACTTTCAGAGCATCAGTGTCTGTTAAAGAAGGGCTCGCCAGCAGGCAGTAGTCCCACAGGAGCAAGTTCAAGTCCAGGGTCCAGGCTGACCTCCCTCTCCTTCACTGAAAAGCCAGCTGATGAGAACACTTGTGTGAAGTTCATTAGTGTGGCTTAATTACATTCTTTACAATTGATGAGGCATCCCGTGGAGGATCCCAGCACAGGGAGTGAGAAGGAAGCAGTTGTGCACACGGCAGAGTTATGAGCAGGGTCATCAGCAGGCCCGGACATGGGGGCATAGGTAGGGGGTCGGCTGGGCATGGCTCCAGAGGGGAGCAGAAAGCATCAAGACAGCATCAACCACACCCTACAGAGAGGATGCGGCTACACAGTGGCAAGCAGGCAAGGTATAGATCTGGCTGGCACATCAGCCAGATTTTAGGCCCCATATCCATTAGGGCTCCAAGCTGCTGTGGTCACCCAGCTCAGCCCATGAAGAACTTGGTCAAGATGAGGCCACACAGTTGACCCACTTGTGGGCTGTTGTGGGGCCACAGACATGTACTGGCCCAATCCAGCCACCCCAGGCAAAGGCAGGAGAGAAAAGGTGGAGCACTCAGTGTGGGCGTGACCTCGCATCAGGGAAAAGAGTCCAGACTGGCCCAGGAGAGCATGCTACCCAGCAGCTTCAGAAAGAAGGTTCGAGGCTGTGCCTCATGCATTCCTCTCAGCCTCCCAGCCTGCCCTCACCCTGCCCTCACCCATGTCCCTCCCTCACTTTTCCTCCCACATGCATACTTTCTCAATATTCTCCTCGGAGAGAATGGCTGGACCCTTGGTGCCCGGCCCTGTGGCAAGCCAAGGTGAAAGAGAGAATGCTTGGCATCTCTTGTTTTCCCTCCCTACACTGTAGGGCCAGTGGCAGCCTGGGCCCCCATCTACCTCAGGGACCATAAAGGCTACAGTAGGATAGCCCTGGTGCTATTTGCACAAAGCATCAGAAGCATCCATCTTCCTGTGCCAGAGTTCATGAGAAGGTAACAGAAGCAGCAGCAGCCTTGACCTCTGATGACAGTTAGGTCTCAGTGGGAACCTGGATCTTCATCCTGGTCAGAGGCTCTGGCCTTGGACCTGGCTGTGTTACCAGAGTACAGTAGCCAGCTGCTGGCCATAGCACCAGAATGAGAGGAGCATTGTACCTGCTTTCACCATTCTCCAAGGTGGCCCCTGAAGATAACCATTGTCTTGGCAAACCTACCCTGCTTGGTAGTGCGGCATCTGTGAGCAGACAATGATGCAAATCTCTTTGGGACTGGCAAGGTTGGGAACCACCCCTATAGCCCCTGGTCTCCCGCTGTAAAATGGAACATTGGCATTGATTGCATTCCAGAAATAGTGGCGATGAACTGAGTCTCTCGCTGGAACTTTTATACCTGGAATGTCATTACCACCCAAAAGCCTGGATATTGGGGTATGTGAGGAGGCACTGTAGGGGAGTCGATAGGCCTTGAAGAACAAGTTATTTGGGGAATGGAGCAAGGAAGCAAAATGAAGCAAACAAAGCAGTGATGGGGACACAGATGGTTGTGACCGGTGATATCCTCCTGAGCCAGGGGCAGCAGGTCCTCCTCGGGCCCTCAGGCTGTTCTAGGTCCTCATCCTTGTTGCTAGTCTGGGCAGTGTGTCATGAGTCAGCCTCTTGGCCAGCCAAAATGCAGCACAAGGCTGGGTTCCCGAGGGCCACGGGAGTCTCTGACCCGCTCTTCCTTTCAGAGAACAGGCTTCGTCTCCCTACTTCTGCCTTCCCCAAAGGCCTGAGGCCAGATGGCTGGTTTCCAGACCAGCAGGGCTATGGCTCAGGGCAAGGCAGCCATCCCCGCCCTTGTCTGTCCAGGAACGTTCTGGTGAAAACTTGAGCTGTCATTCTGTTGTGGTCCCTTGAGCCATTTCTGCCAGTCTGTCACTCAACTCATGAGCACTGGTGGGGACAGGGGGACACTGGGAAATACATGGGCTGCTGGGGTCCAGAAGCCTCTCAGGATGTCTCCTTCCTTTGTGTCATTTGGTCAAGCCTAGAGTCCTAGGAACTGCTAGGACTTGTCACTGTTGTCCTGTCACCAGCAGTTCCCCACCCTGAGTCAGTACTTCTCCGGAACTCGGTGCCAAGGTGTCTTTCCCCGGCCTCATCCTAGGCTCTCAGGCTGTGTTCTCCAGCCGGGCAGCACCAGGGACTGTGTGGGCTGGGCTGGCAGCCACAGGCTTCCTGGGCTTGCCGATGCCTTCCTCTCTCTTTTTGTCATCTATGTGCTGGCAAACGTGTAGGAGAAGTTGAGAGAGAAGTGGCCGTCTCTGGGCACTGGGGCCTTTCGGTTTCTCATTAGAAAACTGCACAGCTCCCCTCTGGCGGGGGAGTTGGGGTCTGATGCATAAAATGTCAAATTGCAGAAATTAAAAATGTAAATGCTGGCATCTAATTAACCAGTTGACAGCAGTGCACAGCTGCAAGTGACAGTGACTGATTGCCTTCTGCCAGCCTCTCTCTCCCAGCAGCCCCCGCCCCTCTCTGTTAACCTGGGGCAAGCCAAAGACACCAGGAAAGAACAGTTGTTGGAGAGGCCTTCTGGCCCTGCTGGAGGAGGCCTGGGGCTGTGGGAGGAGACACCAGAGGGACACAGTGGAGGGGGAGGGCGCTGAACCTCTGTGCAAGTACTGGGAGCAGAGTGGCACCCGAGGCGGGACCCCTCTTCCTCCTGGCCCTTCTCTGGCCTCCCTTCAATGGTGTCTTGCTGCTGCTCTCCTCCCTCCAGAGCTGGAGAAGGCTCGAACTGGGGCTGATGCGGAGGTCCAGTTGGGAGAGAGAGGTTTCATCTCTTCTCTGTACTCTCTGTGCCACTCCTGCTTCTCTCCCTCGCACCCCTTGGCAGGTATTACTCTGACATCGGGAAGATGCCAGCCATCAGTGACCAGGACATGAATGCATACCTGGCTGAGCAGTCCCGGATGCACATGAATGAGTTCAACACTATGAGTGCACTCTCAGAGATCTTCTCCTATGTGGGCAAATACAGCGAGGAGGTGAGCCCTGCCCTGCTCAGCCTGTTGGGAGGGAAGAGGACAGAGACAGGGAAGAGGGTGGCCCTGCATGCCTCCATGTACAGGAGCAGCCCCATCAGCACCCCTCCCTAGCTTTGCCAGGAAACCTAACTACTGCAGGCTATGTAGCACAGGCTATGACCCTGGCAATGCCCTGTCCCATGCATTCTGCACTAATCCCTGTTTCTCTTTACACAAAGACCAGTTTATTTCATTTGTCCTCTTTTTGTTCTTATTTCCTTCTCACTATTCCCCTTTTTTATTGTTCCCATCATTATCTGATCTAATTTCCTTTGCACAACACCTCCCCATTTCCTTAAACAGGTCATATGGTGTGGTGCAATACAGTATAGTGCAGAGTGAAACAGAGGGAGACTAGAATAGGATGAACTAGAACAGAATAGAACAGAATAGAATAGAACAGAGAAGAGTAGAATAAAGTAGAAAAGGATTGACTTGAACAAAAACAAAATAGAATGGAAATCGAATAGAATGGAAGGGTGACACAGGATGGGATGGGACGGGTTTTTAGTTGCTGTGCTCCCTAGTTGTACAATTCCACCTGGAACAATCGCCACTATAGGTTCTGCCTTCTTCCTGGTCAGTACTAAGGGGCTATGGGAGTTTCCTGGTCATGCAGCTACTGGCCAAGTGGGCTTAGAATCCAGATTCCCTGCCTCTAAGTGGAAGTCATGGGAATTGAAGCCAGTTCCCCAGGGGCTGTACCTCCTCACAGCTTTGTCACCCAGATAGGGTCTAGGAACCATGGTTAAAGATGGCCCAGCCGACCAAGACCCAGGTGTTCTACAGGCAAAGAGTAGCATATTCTATAACTCTCAATTCAAAGAAAAGCTAGCCACATGTCCCTTGAGGGATGAACCTATGACACCAATCTGCAGGTCCGTACTGGTCCAGAGAAAGATTCCCATCTATGGGAAGGCAAGATAATAATGATGGTGCACATACATCAATGTAAGATTGCTACTACCTCATCTCTGAAAGGATTGTCCCTTAGCCTACAAGTGCACCTGTCACTCTCTGTGTCAGAATGTCTCATCTTTATGAAACGATGGTGCCAGTAAATAGCAGTTCTTGGCTATCTCAGAAGCAGGCACCCCCAGCTTTGTTTGCTCAACTGAAAATACATTAACTGGTCATGAAATCCAAAGCTTTGGGAGCTTGCCTCCAGCTGTCAGCTTCCTGTTTCCTTCCTCCCTATTTCTGTTCCTCAGACTCCAACCCCAGGACATCCCACCCTACTTATTCAGTTGTCTACCATGGAGCTGACATTGTGCCAAGGAACCTGACAGCCTTGACATTGGAGCAGATCAGAGCTCGAACAGTGGTTAATATACTTTTACAGATAAGGAAACAAGGTTCAGTGCTCACTTCGGCAGCACATATACTAAAATTGGAAACAAGGTTCATTGAGAAAGGTCACATGTTTTACCCCAGGTCACTCAGCTAAAAACCCAGTTAGCCCTGAATCACACACCTGCTGAGTCTACATGAATACCGGCTGTCCTTGTCCTCCACCAACCATCTGACCTCAGAGAAGGCTTTGGTAGACTAAATGATCAGGAAAGCTTACAGCCAACTCTCCTAGGGGTATTTGGTTTTGAACAGGCAGTTAAGCCAAATATGTTACTAAATGTGGATATTTGGGCCTCAGGGATCTGATCTGGGCAATTTTCCCTGTTTTGGAAGGAGGGTAGGATTTCTTAATATTGGTGAACTCACATTCACATTAGACTCAGCACCACAGTGTTACACTGGGTATGGAGCTGTCTGCTATGAACCCACGGGTAGCCTCTGTGCACAGGCATCTTTCAACTAGCTCCTGTGTATGATCTCTATGTTGCCACCCTGTGCTCCTGGCCATATGGTTGCCCACACACTGTCCCCCATACCCAGTGCCCTCCGCATAGCCTGCCTACTTACCCAGCGATGTCAAGTGTGTATCTGCAGGTGCGTATGTCTTGCCCACCCACCCCTTGACCATGTCCACACTGGCTGTGTGTGCCCTAGAACACAAATGTACACTCTCAAACTAGTAACCTTCCTGTTCTTGGCCCTTTCACAGATCCTTGGACCCCTGGACCATGATGACCAGTGTGGGAAGCAGAAACTGGCCTACAAACTAGAACAAGTCATAACCCTCATGAGCTTAGACAGCTGAGAACCATCCTTCCAGGGCCACCCTGGAGGGAGGGACACACCAAGCCGTGCCTCAGTCTAGATTATCATCTTTACCAAGTGCAAGTTCCGACTGGCATCAGCAGCATCCCCTGAGCAGTGCTGTCTCTCTCTCCCCACCCCCTTCTCTGCCTCTCTCTGTCTCTCCCTCCTTCCTGGTACTCTTCTCTTTCAGTTTCTCTGCCAACATGATTGGACCAAGCCACCAACCCTCAGTCACTCTTTGGTGGCCACCAGGCCCACAGTGAGGGATCTGACCAGAAGATGTCAGAGCGGGCCCTCTTCCAACTGCTTCTGACTCCACACACCAGCAGCAGGGCCCAAATATGGATGAGGAGCTGTGGACAGAGGACATTTCTATGCTGCTACTTCACCTTCTTCTTGGAGAGTGATCCAAAACTTGGCTTAGGGAAGAAACAGTGAGCTCAGTATTATCTTCACTGGGAAGATGTCACCTGGCTCTCCCCCCGCCATGCTTCTATCTCCAAGGAGCCAGTCAGTGATCTGGGTGCTTTGCAACAGTGAGAAGAAAGATCTCACCTTCCACATGTAGCTGGAGTGGGGACCACATGAGGAGTTGGGAAGTGCTCCTTGGGGGTACCTCCTACCTGTTTGCTTGGTGTCTGGAGGCCTCTTGTCCGTTGGAGTCTCCTTGGAGCCCTTAAAGGGGTCCATATAGACCTGTCTGCCCAGCTCTTCCCCTGCCTGTGGAAAACAAGACAGGAGAAAAATATAGCAGTTCAATTCCACCATGGAGACACCCTAACTTCTAATCTAGCTCATAGCAGCAGAAGTGTAAGGTGGAGGGGAGAAAAAGAAAGAGTGCTGCAGCTGCCCTAGAAGAAGCATTTGCTGTTCTCCGTTCACTCCCAAATCCAACTGCATAATCATAGGTCTAGTTCATTGCCAGAGCCTGAGTGCTGTCTAGAGAAGGCACCCCCACCTCCTTGTCACCCTTCATCAAACATCCATGAGAAATGCGAGTGCATCCAGGAGATTCTACCTCCAGCCATCTCCAAGGCTCCATGCCCACCATCCTTGAGAACTTCACAGAAGGCTGGGGCAGACAGCCTAGTCTCTGGCCCCCACGCCTGCAGAATCTGGTGCCATTGCTATGCAGATGACTTTGTCACTGGGCTCTCCAGACCTCCTTGGAACTATTTCATCAACATCTCAGCTGTGTCTTTAGTCATTCTCCTTCTTCCTCTCTTCAGCATCATTGGAAGAAACATACACAAGCACAGTCACACCAGGGCAAACCAAATGCCAGCCAGCCTTGGCCCCCAGCTTGTCATGCCTGGGGAGGACTGGAGAGCCAAGCTGAGGGACTGGCTGGAAATTAAAGAAGGGACATACAACTGACTGTGGCCCTGGCATCCATCTCTCCATCTGTCAGGCAAATGTGTGCTCAGAAATGGGTCCTGGGTGAGCAGGGGCTATGGTGAGATGTGGTCTAGTGGTGGGTCCGAAGAGCCTATAGTTTGGAAGGGACCTTCTATGCTGTGTGGATCCGTATCCACCATAAGCAGGAATCTCTTCTGCCAGGTCTGGTATGGAATTGTCCTCCACTTTGGGAAGCAAGGAGAAGGCAGAGTCGATAAGGATCTGGCAGTTTTGCCTTCACCCTCTGAGCATCAGACATCATTCTTTGTCATCCACTCAAAAGGAACCCTAAGTGGGGAAGGAGCCACTCGTTTCCAACAGAGTCCATGCAGCATCCTGCACTTTCAAGAACACTAGCTCCTTTGGATATGAATGTGTGTGTGTGTGTGCACATGCGTGTGAGTGCATGTGCGACCATGCGTGTGTAAGTGTGTCTGCCCTAGGAGTAGGCAGAGAGCTCCAAAAGATTTCTTGTCCCACGTAGAAGGATGTTGAAGTGTTTCCCTTCTGTGTACCCTGGTTCATCAATTCATCCTGCAGCTTCAGGATATTTCAACACTTGCTTTCTATGCTGAGTGCTGGAGAAGAGGTGATCCATCCATAAAAATTCAGGGTGGTCACCTGCTGAGGCTGGGACTTTGGTGACCTAGAGCAGAGCGTCACATGGCATTGGAGAGGACAAATGGAAAAGATACAAGCAACCTAACAAGTAGGAAAAGGAGAATGAGAAAAGATGCATTTAAAAGGAGAAAACAAATGTAACCAAAGGTTTCGGCAAATGTGCCAGATGGAGAAACATGGAATTTCTATCGTTGATCATGTTATTTTCTCCCCAAAAGCCACAGGACCTGAAGGGCAGAAAGAGTGCATGTGGGAAGCGGGCTGAGGAATCACCTTGGCCACTAAAATATTTTTGCACACATGAAAGGGTGGGGAAGAGAGACACAAACATTTAACACAGATTTGCTGGCTGGAAGCTCCGAGTGAGTGTGTATGAGTGAATGCATTTTGATTTATTTTTTAAGTTTTGCACAGTTAGAAAAAAAAATGAACAAGAAAAAAAAAGACTGTTATCATGGTTTTGCTGAAGCTTTTATTTTTTACCAGATGATTATTATTGTTACTATTACGTTGTCGGTACAGGACTTTTCCCCCCATGTTTTTGTTATAAACAACACTTCAAACATCACAGAGAAACCCAAATGTCAGGAAGAAAATAGAGGGAAGGACAGACAAGTTTCCTGTCTCTCCTCATTTCTGCCAGGTGAGGGTTTGGGGCACATTTTAATTTAATTGGTGTTTAATTTAATAGGTTGTTTCTGGCACTTTGCCTGAAGTCACTAGGGCCTGTGTGGGGACTGAGAAACTGTTGTCACCCAAAACCATAACCCATCTTGCCCCTAAACATCCTTTTTTTCCTTTTACTGTTTTTTCCCATTTCTTCCATTTGACTTGATGCAAGTGTGATACGTTTAAAAGCAAAGACAGTCAATGTAGCCCAAAATTTCCCCCTCAAATCTTCTCTCTCAAATTCCCCTGTGATTCTCTAGCTCCTCTTGACACATCAGAGACCCAGATAGCTCCCAGCGTGTCCTGTGGGGTCCCAGAGGAAGGAGTTAATGTGGTCATGTGAAGGGAGCAACTCTCGCACCTCCCTCTGCATTGGGGTCAATTTGCAGGGCCCCAGTTCTGTTGTAGGTGAAAACTTTATCTCACCCCTTGCATCTGGGCTGTAGGCAGGGGAGAAAAGGGAATCTCCCTCACTACTCCCTTTACCTTGCTCCTGCACCCTCCTCCTCTTGAGACCACAGGGTCTAAATGGTACCATATCACATTGTCAAAAACAATTAAGCTAAGTTAGGCAAGGATTTTGAATGTAGAGGTCAGATGGGTTGATGTCTGGTAGTGCTGGGGAGCAGGGGAACTCAATGGGGTCCTGAATTTAAATGAATGGATAGAGAGAGCAGAGAAAGATAGCTGTAGCCTAGCCATCTCTCCTAAGACATATGTCCCTTAGGTGTGGGTTTGGCCTTCCTTTGCCCTTCCCAGTACGGCAAGACCCTGACATTTCTCAGTTAACTGCAAACAGTGACATTAAGTGAAGTTGGCTGTTGTGTCAATTACTTCCTCAGAAAAAAACTTTCTTGCTTTCTTTCAATATGGCTTTAAATTTCGGGACAGGGGATACCCCAAGTGCCCTCCATGCCAAGGTACCTTACAACTTGTATAATATGCATAGCCAGAAGAGGCAGCCTTCTGGCTCAGGATACTTGAGAGGCTTGGGATAGTTGAATGGGGCCATGTCCAGAAAGAGAAGTCCTTTAAATGAATCTTGAAGTTTGAGGCTGAATGTCCAGGACTGCTCCCAGGGAGAAGCTGGAGTTACTTACGGATAAGATCTCTCTGTCCTGGTCCGCTTGGCTCACCTCCCACTCCGAGCCCAGGGTCAATGTCGATGTACTGCCCCAGTACCTCCCCAGCTCTGGCATTCCCAGTACTCAGGTGCTCTATTGAATGTCTGGCTTCTGACTGTGCCCCGCTCCAGGTGGTGAGTATCCTCTCTGTTCCTCCTTGTCCCTCTTGTACGTGGAAGTCCATCAGAAGGCCATCTGTTACCCCCAGGACAGAAGCAGCTCAGACTTCAGTCCAGCTCTCTGGGCCTGTCCCAGCCCAGTCCTGGCCAACCCACCCACACAAAACTGTCTCTCTCAATGAAAGGGGCTCCCTTATCCAGCCAAGGCTTTGCAGGTTCCCATCAGAGAAACCATGCAACTTCCACAGTGACATCCCAAATGACCTCCACTCCAACCAATGAGCCTCTGCTGTTGTTTCTAGGCCCCAGACTATGCTGTCATCCACCTGGAGCTAGGCATCTTTCACTTTGGCCTGAAAAGAGAAGTTCCATTGCCATCTGTCTTCTTTCACAGGACTGAGGAAACCCTGTCTCTGACTTTGACTTCACAGCATGCTGGTCAGTGTTTAACCAAGTGAAGAGCCGGTGTTCCCACCATCAGGAACAACCTTCCCTCTTTCTCACAGGGAAGCAAGGAGGGAGGGGAAGACTGACCTAGGGAGCCACTCTGAAGGCAGAAAGCCCAGAGACACCTGCCTCATGTCCCTCCCAGGAATAGCACCTAGGGAGCAGTCCCAGCAAGCTCCTAGAGGCCTCTGAGGGGCATTTCTTTGGTGAGTGATCTCCAGGGACACAACAGGCCTGGGTGGTTCACTCCTCTGGCTCCTCTTGGGCCTTTTCTTTTGTTCCTCATCCATATAAAGGCCCTTTAGGACAGGTGACTGGGGCACTCTGACTTCTCCACTCTTTCCATTTAAAAAGCTATGGGCTATTTATTTGGAGTCTTGTTCATTATTATTTTTCTTTGTATATTTTAAGAGTTTGAGAGTAAGAAAGGAGCCTGGGTGTGGGAATAAAGTCCAAAGGACGGGAGGGAAGGACACCTGTGACTTCAGAAAAGATGAGGAGAACCTCAAGGGCCAAGGGTAACCTCTCCTATCGTTAAAAAAAGGAGTCAGGAAATTCCCCAATGTAGATGTGCTAGGGGAAGCTACCTGCCTGGTTGCTAAGACTCTCAGGGCCTGCTCTTTTGACAGAGTGGCCATTACACCCCTCTTTTCCCTCCTTACCCCAAGGTGTTCTGCACAGAGCCAACTAGAGCCTTACCTCACAAGGGGGCGGCCACAAGAGACCCTGAAGAGACAGCTCCTAAAGGAGGCCAGGACACTACCAGCCTCTTCTCTCATGGTGCTCTGAGTGGGGTACAGAGCCTTAGCCTGGATATCTGACCATTCTTCCTGTTTAGAAAGTAATCACTGCAGGAAAAGTTTCAGGCATTAAGAGAGACTTTTTTCTTTCTTTCTCTTTCTTTCTTTCTTTTTTACTACAAATCATTGCTCCCCAATAAAACTATCTTTTTATTATGGGGAATGTCCAAGTTTTAAAAATATATAGAATTTTTTGGTTATAAAAGTAATACATACTCATTAGAGTCACAATTAGATTCCTCAAGTAGACTGATGACTAGTAGAAAGCAAATCTAAGAAAAACAAAACAAAATCATTAAGGAAAAAAAGAACTTTCTGTTAGTATTGGCAGAGGTATAGTGAAGTGGCCCAGGTGGGCTTGAAGCCCTTGGCTGGGGAGTTTCACCTGCCTCTTCTCCCTCCTCCTTGAGCTTATGTCTTGTCTTGGCTTTCCAAGCTGCCCCTGGAGTTGCTGAATCCTACATATTTCTTATCAGCTTCCCTCAAGCTACAGGGAAGCCCTGTCTGGGGTACCCGAATTCTCCCTCCCCAAGAATGCAAAAGCAAATAGACTCCGCCTATGCAGCTCGTTTCCCACTGGTTTCTTTCGTTAGTATCTTTGAACTTCAACTCAAGCACATTTTGGAAGGGCTCCCTTTTGAGAGTAGAATTCAAAACAGAGGATACAGTTAAATAGCAACCCAAAAGCCACTTCAGAACCCAAGACCACTTTAGCAGACAGGACTAATGAACGCTTGCACACACAGAGGACAGTGGGCATCCAGGCACAGAATGAAGATGGACTACATGTCTTCATCTGTTCTCCTTCCCACTGCTTTCCTGGATGTTCTTGTCAGCTTGTTGGCTTGTTAAACCTTCCGTTCTTTGACAGAAAAGCTAGTTTACCTCAAAGAATCTTGTTTCCATTTGGAAACTAATGACTTTGTGCTTTGGGGTGGATGACCCTCCCCTTCCATCACCCCCTGCCTGGGCTTGGTGTCCTTGGGCATGATTTTGGCTTAGTCCCATGTTGACTGCTCTGAGTGAGAACAAGGCCTCCAGGCCCTGCAGTGGGAAGAAGGATTGGATGCAGATGCCTTCCTCCCCACTTTAGCTTGTAGGGACTAGCCTCTCTTCCATCAGGGTCCTGCCAGGTTACCACAGCAACCAACAACTCCAGGGTACCACAATAGACAACGGCTTAGTGAGCTGAGGTGCAGGGGGAGAGCAGGGGTTCTGGCCTGGTCAGATGACCCAGAATGAAACCCCAAATCCTACAGGGGGAAGAGGAAGAACAGGAATGGGTGCATGGGTGTTTTAAGGAACTGCCAGAGGTCTTTCAGTCTCAGAGAGAGGCCACTGAAGGAGGTAGAAGAGGTCATTTCTGTTCCAGTTACCCTCTTCCTGCCCCACCCCACTTCTGTTCCAAAATAAAGCTCCCACCTTGAACACTGACCCTTTGTTAGAACACAGCAAAATATACCTTTAGACAACAGTGTTAAAAATGAGCCTCAAAGATAGGTGGATGAGACCGATGTGAAAAAGAGGGTCTTCTGGTTTTGGTTTTTAAAGAAGAGTATCCTAATAAGATTTACAAAAAAAGATTTTAAAAAAGTTTTTAAAAAGAAAACCTATGATATTTAAATTGGAGCCCAGTTGTAACTTGGTAAAGGCAAGCTTCTGTACCTTTGTTATAATTAATTGTATACCTGTGTATGTAAATATAAGGCATTCCTATTTTGCAGTTCAGAACAAAAAACTTATTTGTAATATAGAATAAAGTTTATTAAAAAATAATAAAAATGCACTGAGATTTGGGGTCTTTATGTGACTGGTGGGAAGGGGGCAGGGGAGAAAATTGGTCATAAGTAGGTGGCGAATTCACTATGCAGAGATACAGGGCACCTCCTTCCTCCAGCTGTATAATGTCCAGCTCAACCAGCAGAGGTGCCTCCTTTTACCTAAAGCTCTATTCTTGGTGGCAAGGAAGCTGTCTCAGTGGTGATTCTTCCAGTCATGGATACCACTCTCTTATTGCATCCACCTGAACACAGCCCTCCAGCCCTCACCAACAGTCCCTTAGAGCTGGCTCTGGGGAGGACACAGGGATAACTATCTCTGCTTTAGGTCTTCTTGGCAGGATACACCTTGGTGTAAATGATTTTATCACGCACACACACACACTCATACCATACTTTAATGGGGGTGAAAATCTTGATCCCAGTTTCCCCTAGAGGTAGAGGATGGCAGTGGTAGAGAATGGAAAAAGACCAGGTGCTACCAGCCTCACACATCTGTCCATGGTCAATACTGCTTGGAGGTGAGGGATGCAGGAGAAGGGAAGCCAGTGTCCTGGCCCAGGCACCGGGACCTTCAGCTGCTCTGTTATGCATTCAGATCCCTACCTTGGGTAGATCCATTCACCTCTGGCCCTCAGGCCAGTGGAAGGAGAAGGTAGAGTGGACTAACTCCATGCAATCCCAATGTTATTATTCAGAGCAAAAATGATGAAAGAAAGGAATTAGGAATGAAGGGCAAGAAAGAAGGGATAGCAACATGGAAAGGGGAAGAGAGCAGAAAGGGAGGGGGAAAGAAGAGTGTGGGGAAGATAGATGCAAGACAGTCCCAGGGGCCCTCAAATGTTGGCCAAATTTCACGTGAATTTTTCACTCCTGTCCCTCTACTGTCCCCCAACTCTGACCCTCCAGTCTCTCCAACCTTCACAGCAGCACCTCTGCCTGTAAAATAGAAAGTGTTCACCAAAGATGGGCCTCTGGGGACCATGAGGAAAGGGTCAGGAAGGAACTTGGTGGGCATCCCATCCTGGCTTTGAACCTTGGCACTGCTCCACCTCTAGAAGAGAGTCCTTGTGGGATACTAACAGAGCTACTAAGGAGGAGGAGCAATGAGCCTGAGAAGCAGCAGAGTTCGGTAGACGTAGTACATCCAAGTGACACAGAAACACCTCAGGAATGACCATGGGAACAGATAGAGACAGCTGTGAGGGAAAATCAAACTGGAGGCCTCAAGACCTAGGACAATCAGAATGGGCTGAAATCAACCAGAGCTGATGAAATTCACAATAAGAGTATAGTTCATGACCAGAAGGGGATGTCCTTCCCTTCTCAGAAAAGATGCAGATACATGGGGGCAGTGATCTTATGCTGAAGGTTCAGCCTGAGTTCTACAAACCAAGTTCCTGCCAAGTTCTCAGATATATTCATCTGTATGCTCTCATACTTTATCAGAAGCAACTACTTTGACCTTGAGCAGACCACTTCTCTTTACTTTTGTTTCCTTATCCATAAAAGGAAGACAGTTCTAACTATACCACAAAGCCCAGAAGGTTGGGTCAGGCCAATTTAGACAATTAAAGCAAAAAAGATGGTGAACTCTGAAAGGTCATGCATGTGTGCAGCATTTCATTAGTCAAAAAAAAAAAATGATACAGTAAAAACAAGAGTGGATCTGTCCTGGAACCTCAATGACAAATTTAGAATAGATGCTTTATTTACTCATTACAAGAAAAGTAAGGAACACTTTATGAAGATTTTGTTGTTCTTCTTTTTGGTTCTTTTGCAGGTGGGAAGAGTAAATATTGAAGTTCAAACCTCTCCCTGGGTTAGCAGAGCAGCTTCTAGCTGGGCAGAGTGAATAAATGCAGGGTGGGTCACTTCTGCACTAATCACCTCCTCTAAACCTGGCCCACTTTTGGTTTAACCAAATGCCCTCCTTGAACATTGAACCCGAAGCTGTAGGGCTGCCGAAAGGGCCTGTTAAATCTGAATGCATAGGTATGGGTTTGGAGCTATGCAGAAGGGCATCTGGTAGATTGTGTCATTGTTCGGCAATATCTATTTCCCTTCTCTGAGTAAGCATTAAAATTTCCAACCCCAATAAAGTCCAGGTGGCCCAGCAACTTGCCTCGGGCCAATGAAATATGAGCATTAGTGATATAAGTTACCAAAAAGCAGTTGCTCCATCATCCTGAACTACAGAGTGGGGACAATGATGACATACAACATAGTCACTAAATGATCCTGATGGCTATGTAGTTAGAATGAAAAAAATCAAGCTGTTGTTTTAAAGCACTGAGGTGTGAGGGCTATTTGTTGCTGCAGCATAATGGAGATGATCTTGACTGCTACAGGGGACAAGAGCTTAAACCTGACCAATATAAATGATGTATAAAATCTTACCTTTATCTACAGGGAATTCTTTTGAACTACATCTTTTAAAAGAGATAATATTGACTATTTGCATGCAATATAAATCAATTTTTGAAGCCCCTAATTTTCCTGAGCTTGATTTGAGACAGATTGGGGATGGAGGAGAAAATTAAGAACAAGTGAGAAAAAGAAGGAAGGAATAAATCTTTACAGAATGGGAAAGAAGAATGTGGAGGTTAGGGTAAGTATTGGAAGAGACAGTTTTGTACACTTTGATTCTGATCAATGATTAGTTTATCAGGAAAGCAGAGTACTCATCCTCATGCATAAAAACTGTGTTCTCAAACCAAGACCTGGCTTAAGATGGCAGCCACTTTGGGAGCCCTAGATGACTGTTTCTTATCATACCTAGGAAGATGCTGGCTGACTCTAGTAAAGACTTACTGATCTTTCTAAGGAAAGGAAGAACTCCCACTCACCAGCCCACACACACAAATGGGGCTCTTTTAGCTGAGCAGAGTGAATAAATGCTGTCCCACACTGTACTCCTGACCTGGGGTGCCACTCCCCCATCTTCCAAGTTCCCCCAAAATTCCCAGTTTAAGCCTCCTCAAACTCTGTCAGTAGGTCATGGGGATATGTGGTCAGCCCCAATCACTAGGAGCACAACCCCCATCATGGGAAACATTTTGTTTCCTAAAGCAAAAGGACTTCAGATGCACCTGAACTGCCTCCAACTCCATGGGGGCACCTCTTGATTTTTCTTCCACTTCTGCTTTAACAATTCCCAGGAACAACACAGACTGGAGAAGGCACCGCATCAGAGCCATGGGAGCAGCCCACAACTGTTCAGACAGCTAGGCTTTCATCCTCAGAATCAACTCCTGACCCTTTTCATGTCCTGAACTTGCTGCCTACATAAAGTAAAGATACTACCGTGACCTGGTTCAAACCTTGTCCTTTATTGTAACAAGTTCCTAACCATCTCTAATGTCTTGGCTTTCTCATCTGTAAAAATGAGAGGAACACTTCCCTCATAGAGCTGTTGTGAGAACTGAGTGAGGTAAGGATTGCAGAGCACTCAGCACAGGTGCTGATGCCTTGTAAATTTGTGGTGGACAGTGACTGTTATTCTTGAGAATGTACTCTTCCAGAAACAACCTCACCATAGTACCTCTCTAGTGCTAGCCCGTGGGACTACACCCAGAATATATTAGTATTTTTCTTAAAAATGTGTTTTAAATGGATGAAGTAAAGGTTTAGGAATTTCCCAACTGCTCAAACCTGCAATTGAAATGTACATAGAACACAGCTTCCTAATAAAGTACACAAAAGCAGTGCCTGAGACAAAGGCTTGTGAGCAATGGGTTTATTTTTGATTGTGGAACCAGAGTGGGCAGTAGGGAAGTGAGGACAGGTCAGTCCAAGATGGGTATTCAAGCTGTCTCCCTGGATGCAATAGGACTCCACTCCCTTAGGCCTCTAGGAACCATGCAGTGGTCCTTGGAATGTATTCACTGGTTCCCACTCCCCATTTCCATAGACTTCCCAGCAGGAAGTTCACTTTATTTACTCCTGCTTCTAAATATGCAACTACATTAGAAAGGCTGAGTGGCTGTCACAGGTCTCCAGTGGTAGTAGCAGAAGAATCCTGGGGCAGAAAGCAAGAGAGATCCGGTATTCCCAAATCAGGCACTTTTAGACTCTACATGCCTGCCACCTGGTTGCTGTGGCAACAGCTGAGATAGAAAGGCAGGTCAAGGAGTAGGAGATGAGGAGCAAGGGAAATCTATAACACAATATATAATCATTTAAAGCCCTTAATTAGTTCTATGAAAGCAAGATTAAAGTCATTTTGAATAATATTTTGGTATGAATCCCCAATTTTCTTCTAGCTCCATTTTTCCCCATTTCTTTCATTACCATCCACAGCCTTTTGCCTTTTCTCTTTCTTCCCATCTTTCACAATGAACCAAGTTGTATCCCACCTTGAAAGTATTGACATCTGTGAGTTACAGAAGGAACATCAAAGTGACACTGAGTTACGGAAGTTGGCGACAGCTGGATGAACCCATTTGTTCTGTGGCTCATCAAATTCGCAGATGACTTCTGGAGAGGGACTTGTTGCTATTTAACCTTCCCCAGGCCTTTCTGTTTTTTCTTCTTCCCCACACAATTAGCACCTCATCCTGAAGGGTTGTAGCCTCTGATTGCCCATAATGCACCACTCGGCACTTTATTTTAACAGAATCTATCCTGGTATGTACTTGATAATTTTATCTGCTAATAGTTTCACCATTTTATTTCCTGTCTCCTCAACTCAGAGGAGTTCTAAAACTCAGGTCCTTTATTTCATTGATTCTGAACTCAATACTGGATGCATAATAATAAAATAAATGCTCATTGTTTTCTCCTTTACACTGGGCCAGAAGTCCACTGAAGAAGATCATTTAATGAAATTAAACTCATATTAGAGGCAAGTTCTCTAAATGATATTAGCCTCCATAGCCTCCAATTAAAAATTTGGGTTCCTTATGAAAACCGATACTTTGAGGGGATAAAGAAAATACCAGTGATAGAACTGTACGCTTGATTTCCAGTGCCCTGTGACCCAGAGTCACCACTTTC